TGACCAAATTTTAAAAGGGTAAAATGGTAACTTTCCCTTTTCTCATATAAAAAAAAAGAACTAAAATAAAATAATTAAATCATAAATCATAAAATCCTATTATCTTCTCCAACTACCCCACCTCAACCCCACCCAACCCAAAACCAAAATTGCTGGCACAACCACCGGCACGATGTCGGCACCACCGCCTCATCCTCCCACCACTACGACCGCCGTCGCCTCCTCCCACCACCATAACCCCAGCTGCATTTTTCCCTAAATTATATACCAGTCCAACAACATATTAGAACCGCCCAACAATCCATCACTGCAGGAGCTGTTCGTGTACCTAAATTCATCTTCTTCAGAATTGATTCCCAAAAACCACCGATCCATAGCACAGAATCCTCATCATTATATACGAAGAATCATTCAAACCATTATCTTCATCCATGTTCCATTGTATACACACTGCAATTTGGGGATTTTAGGGTTTATTAGTCTTTATATAAATCTAAGGTGCTTTTGCAAATCGAGAATCAACCACAAAAAATTCACAGATCAGTTGTTATACAAACCAAAGGCGAAGCTACAGGTCGTTTATGGCTACCCCCAAATCGTCCATCATCCACGGATTCAACAAAGGAACAAATGTCATTTCAGATTACTGGACTGCTGCTTCGAGAGCTGCTGTTCCGCTGCAGCGATTGCTGGAAGCCGCCTTTTCTTAAAAGAAAATGGAAGGACGCATTCTTGATGATCTTATCGAGGGCTGGGACTAGAACTATGTTCAAGTGGGAATCAGCTTCCGAAGAAGCCATTCTCGTAGTTCGATAGTGATTTAGATCTGAGATGGGAGCTGTGTTTGAATGATTTGGATGCGACGGAGACGGTGGATGACTGGTGGAAAAGATAGTGGCAGATATGGTGGCGAAGATGGGTAGAGAGAAGGTGGTGGATCTAGTTTGGAGAGAGGAGAAATGGGAGAAGGAAGTTGCTTTGGAAGTGCAGCATCTGGATCGCGGGTTCGAGGGTGGATTTGATACGCAAAGTTTATGGTAGTGGTTGTTATTGGCGGTGACGGATTTGGCGGCGGCAGCGGCTATAGGGTGTAGAAGAAGATGATTGGGGTGTTGGTGGAGGAGGGGTGGGGGGAAGAGAGGGTGGAGAAGATGAACAGTAATTTTGTTATTTCTTTTCTTTATAATCATTTTA